TTTTTTTTGAGGCACAGTAAAAGGGGAGTTACCAAGGATAAATGAAATGGGTACCCAAAAAAGCCAAAGTGAACACAGTTAAGAAAGGGATTCAAAGTTTCAAAATTCAAACGCTTCTATTTTGCTCCGTGTTGCTTGTTGCTATAAAGGTAACTGTATCATTGTTGCTTTGTTTCAGCTCAAGTGTTTTTCTTGTCTGCAATAGGAATAAAGCTGCTTTGATTTTGGATCTACTCTATCTGGGTGGAGTAGGGGCTGTTGTGGTGAAAATTCAAAATACACAGGCCCACAGGCAAACAGTCACAAAAGCACCCACGCACACACGTCCACCTACACTCATGCATGCTTACTGTCTGTTTGATGTGGCAACTCTGAAAGAGCATTCGTCACTTTATGGTCCCTTCTTTATTGTTTCAATCTCTGTATCGTTCATTCTCTCGGCTTTGTTTGCAAGTATGACTTCTGAGGGCCTGTTTGCAAGTATGAATTATGTGGGCCTGTTTGCAAGTATGAATTCTGTGGGCCTGTTTGCAAGTATGAATTCTGTGGGCCTGTTTGCAAGTATGAATTCTGTCTGTGGGCCTGTTTGCAAGTATGAATTCTGTCTGTGGGCCTGTTTGCAAGTATGAATTCTGTGGGCCACACCGTTGGCGCCATGTCACCACAGGTGATGTGAGGCTGTGAACCACTTTGTTGACCAATCTGCTTACCATTTGTTTTTTGAAAGGATTTCACCACTGTAGACCTGGCCGCTGTCTCTGTTCCAGTCGCAGTTTCCAGTCTCAGCGTCAGTGCCAGTAGCGGTAGGAGAAGTCTGTCCTTCGGCCCTCTTTGTCAACCAGTCAAGTCGGCAGCAAAGTCTCAGGAAAGTCCGCAAACTTCCCGAGATGACAAACATTTGCAGGGTACTGGCCCATAACCAAAAGCGAAAGTCCGCAAGCCGAATCGTCAAGTACAAAAGTCCAGTTGTTGAAGTCGCCGGCACATGTTCACTTGTGAGTCCATGGGTAAGCGCTGCTGCGCTATTTTGGGATACTTCGAGGAGCGCTGCTTCTGTTTTTTTTTTTTCCTACTTCGAGGAGCACTGCTTCGAGGAGGTTGGGTGCGAGACAGACAGAGTTAGAGAGAGAGATGTATTCAGAGAGATGAGAGATGCGAGGCTGAGGGAGAGAGCGGCCATACCTGAGAGAGCTTGTTCGCGGCCATAGCCACACCTTTTTGTACACAGACAATTCTGTGAAATCGAGCTGATTGGTGGAGACAACCTTCGAGTTACATATCACTTCTACTTCGGCTGTGTATGTATCATCTGCTGTGACCATGGTGTGAAAATCTCGTGCATGGTCGGTCTCAAAGCTTCTTTGTTTCGTTTTTTTTTTCCGCTTATCACCGGCAAGCATAGGCCAAGACTCAGACAGAAAAGGTAGATAGCAGCAGACAAGAAGAGCTTGGCCCCCTGCCCCTGCCGCCCTAGCCGCCATACAGGGGGGGCTGGGGGATGGTCCTGTGGTGCATATCTGACTTTCCCCAGCCAAGCTCGCAAAGTGGCCAGGAACAAACCACTCTGTACCCTGCCGCACACTTAGCGTGACCCCGGGGGACAGATTAGGGCCACAGAGCCGCACCTTCAGCCCCGGAGCCTCCTGTCCTAATTTCCATTCGTCCGCCACAGTTCGGGTTGAACCTCGTGTCTTTTTTTTTTTTTTTTTTTTTTTTTTTTTAACCTCATGTCTACGTCGCCCTTGTTTACCGACTATAGTTCCCAATTCCGACGTTCACCTCCTACATTTTCAGAATCAGCCGACAAGTTTCTTATACCAATCCAATTCCCCCTCAATCCTTGCACGCTCCAACACCAGTTCACACAACATCTTCCCTTCGTACGCCTCTCGTTCCCCCTGGTCCCCTTAGCCCATCTTGCAGCAATATTTATATTCTCCCAGCGGTCGGTCCCATCTGGTGTCCATCTTTCCACTCCTCCCTCCCTCATACCTTACTGGGGGTGGCCCTCCCCGCTCCCCACCGGCCTCCCCGGCTCCATCGTACATGGGACGTCTCTAGAATCTACCTACCACTACCTATAGTACAAACATGACCTGGGACCTACTCATCCACATCTACAGCATACTTTTGCAAGGTAGAGCCGAAAGACCGGTCTTCCCATTGTGGAGTCCTTCTTGACCAGGCTGGGGTAAGCCCCCCGGACCCTCCAAAATTTCCTGTTGTCAAATCCCGCTTTCCGTCTGCATCTCTGAAGGTCCACCAGCAGGGTCACTGACAGGTTTCACATCACCACGGTGATAGTAAGAGAACCACCACAGAAGAGGCTTCGCCAGTCTGGCTGCTCCATCTATTGGTGGGGAGCGCCACCTGCGGGAAACTGGGTCCAGCGTCCCTTAGATACATCATCTCCTTTTCAAGAGGGAAAAACAAGAAAGCATCTGGAAACACCCCGCCAGCATTGATTACTCTGGGACCCAGAGGATTAACTGAGCAGGTTGTTGGAAAGCGCTGCAAATGCTAATTTTTTTCTACCCCCTCCATCCTATCCCCTTATCTAACCTATCCAAACTACCCTTATATGCGCTGGCCTGAGCGGGATCCCGGGATCGATTCTCATCCAGTCCCGAAACGCCAGACGGTAATCCCTCACCAGGCCCTCCTGTGCGCCCACCTCATCTCCCTGGTGTTGCCTTCACTCATCACCTGTCTACAATACCTCTGCCGTCCACCCTCCATGCCTTGCCCCCAACCAATCCTCACAGGACAGG